TAACTTAGCTCACCAGGAACTATCAGGCCATGTAACACAGGACCTATCAGGCCATGAAAAAACACGAGCAAAATTTGAGTGCATATTGCTAAGTGAAAGACACCAACCTAACAAATCTACAACTGTAGGATTCCAACTGTGTGATGTTCTCAAATAAAGCAAAACTCTAGAAGCGATAAACACAAGCCACGTGTGCCAGAAGTTGTGGCTGGGAAGAATGAAGAGCACAGAGGATTTTTAGAAGCGTGAAACTATTCCGTGTGGTCCTCCAATGTGCCTCCATGTTGCTGTACATGTGTACAAAGCCACAGAATGTGACAACCCTGCGAGGGAGCCCTAATGTCAACCTTGTGCTTTAGGTCATTATGATGTGTCAACAGAGGTTCAGCGTGGCACCAAATGCTCAGCTCAGGTAGAAGCTATCAATAGTGGGTGAGATTAGGCATGTGTGCAGGCAGGGAGGGCATTGCCTGAGTGCCCCCTCCCCAATTCTTATACAGAAATTATAATCCCCAATGGGATATTATCAAGAGGTGAGGCCTTTGGGAGGTGATTATTTCATGAGTGTGGTACCTTCACTAAGATGATTACAAAAAAAGATCACAGAGAGCTTCCTCCAACCCTTCAACCAGCTCAGCACAGTATGAGAAGACTTCCTGTGACCCAAGAATCTGAGCCTCACCATACAACAAAGCTGCTCACGCAGACACCACAGATTCCAAGTTCCCAGAGCTATTAGGCATAATCTGTGGTGCTGGAACCATACAAACTCTGACACTTTTGTGACAGCTACCCATTTCTGCTACGAAAAGGAACTGCTAAGTCTTTACACATTTTTCTATGACTGGCACCTGCCCCAGAAATATAAACTCTTCAAATAAAAAATAGTGACTGAGGGGATTTTTGTCATGGGATCTCAATATAAAATGGGATCCAATATAAAATTTTGGTTTCCTGTTCTCACATTTTAAGGATACTCAAAAGTCATCTGTGGCTATAAACTGCCTTCGCCCCACAGACTACTTCACTCTTGAGTTCCTTCAGTCCTTTTGGATGCCTGCCCTCTACTTCCAGTTATTTATTTGCACTCACTTTATCATTAGATTTAGAACATACTGTACCTTTATTGCTATTTGTTCTAGTACCTCTGACCTTTCAGCTTCAAGCTGGAATTTCGGGGAGAAAATCTTCTCAACATCTTCCTTAGCAGGAAATGAAGTCCAGAACTGTTTGAGCCTCTGTATTTTTCCCCCTTTCCTAGAGATAGCATTCACCTCATCAAACTGTGCTACTTTGGGTTGGACTGTGATAGAATTAAGATGTAAGGAAATCTGTTTCCCATTTCTGTGCTGGCAAACTCCCCGTGTCCAGGAGCCGCTGCCCTTCACCACACCCCACCTTTCAGTTCTCCTCCGGGAAAAGAAGCTGGAGAGGGCCTGGCCCTGCCTGTCCAAGGAGAAGTCTGACTTCACACATCTCCACCTGCAGTACCAGATAGCCATGGCATGGAGTCTGCTGTTCTTGATAGAGTAAAAAGGAAAAAGTCCCAGCAACTTCAGCTTATGCCCGGGTTCTAGCACAACTTGAATCTGGAGAGCAGTTAACTGACTTCTCTGACTTTACCTTCCCTGTGTGCAAAGTAAGAGTGATTACAATATCTCATAGGATAATTGTAAATATAATTAGTTATGCTGAATCTGTAAAGCGAACTGCAAAGCACTAGATAATTTAATGATTATTCTTATTAGGCTTTGTACAGCGTAGAATTTAGGACGCTTTGCAGTTTGGTGGTAATAACTGTCCTCTAAGTTGAAGGTCTATCCACATTCACAGTGACAGCCACTCGGTGGCTCCCCCTCTTCTTGCCACCATCACCCACCGCTCTAGAGCACTCACAGCATGCCAGGGCCCCTCAAGGGAACACGCAAACAAACTCCATTGCAGCACCGAAAGCTGCAATTCCATGCCTGGAACAACACAAATTCAAGAGTGAGTAAGACGGTCCTAACACCACAGATTTTTGCATAGAATTCTGCTTTTAGTGTCTCCAGATAAGCTGATATTTTTAACATAGCAACAGGCATTTATTTCTTACTGGTTTAGAACCCTAAACTGGCATCTGAGATATTAGAGAAACCTTAAACTGTTTTGTTGTGGCCTACCTATCACACAGATGTAATCAGTAATGATTTGTTTCTGATCCCTGTTAGCTATTATATCAGCCATGAACAAATTCAGAATTAAATAATGAAAAGCTATTTTGTTGTTCTCTTTGTAATTGCCTTAAGACACACCTATAAAGCAAGCATAACTTTGCAGAAACGCGTTTAAAAGAAATAAAAAGTAACTATTTCTACTTACATTTTAGGCTTTTCTTTTTCTAGATTTATTCTCAGGTACAGACACACTTTGGAGAAGACTGCACATTGCCCCAGAGCATATAATACTGCTGTGTGTGCGCAGATTTCCCGGGCACAGGCTCCTTATTCTCTGATCACGATCCCTCACTCAGAGAGCACTGTCAGCCCCTCTGGCCCCTCACCGATCACAAGGAGCCGTGTGAACTGAGCCTACTTCAGAGCCTCCTTTTGTGGCAGCAAAACTGCAGGCCTTTGTATTTCCAGTACTCGTAGTATTTGCTTGCTGCCTGAGCAGCAAAATCCAATGACTGACACATTCCCCAGGTGAGAAATACATGGAGGAGATCGAACCCTGAACATTACTGTGTGGTCTCCCAGGCTTCTGGAGTCTCTCTCTGGAGTTTCATTTGCAAGGCAACTTGGTAGATTTTTTTTTACAGCTTCATTTTTTCATTTTTAATGGGTAAGAAATTACTCAACATTTTGTTCAGCAAGGAACACATCATTCTGTCATAGCGGCGTAGACTGAGAAGCATTTTCAAAATGAATATTATGGAAGACAGATATAATTTTTGAAAGAGGTTTGGCTCACTAAGATAAACAAAAAATCCTTTTTTAAAATAGGAAACAATGATCCTTGGTTATGCAGGACTCTACTGAAGAGAGAAAGAGGGAAAGAGAAAGAGAGAGAGAGAGAGAGAGAGAGAGAGAGAGAGAGAGA